CATAAAATAAATAAATATAAATATCTTCCAGTCACTTTCAAAATTTACTAGGGGGAGGGGTGGAGTGGGAGGCAGGGGTCAGCAGATGTAAGCTATTATATACAGAATGGATAAACAGCAAGGTCCTACTGTATAGCATAAGGAATTATATTCAGTATCCTGTGATAAACCATAATGGGAAAGAGTATAAAAAAGAATGTATACATGTATAACTGAATCACTTTGCTGTACAGCAGAAATTAATACAACACTGTAAATCAACCATACTTCAATAAAAAAATTTACTCAGAAACAAAACTATCTATCTATCTATCTATCCATTCCCACAAAGTGTAAATATTTGGTGCTAATGAGTGCAGTAGAGAAAACTGCTACAAATTGCGCTGTATCCAAAGCGAGCAGTACTGAATAATGTATGAAATGAAAATCCCTAGGCCAGAGCCAGAGGAGGTGTTTTTGCAGCCTGCTTAAATATGTTTTAAATATTGTACAGAAAAGTCTTTTGTTTTTTCTTGATTAGCCTTAGAAAAAGGAAAAGTCAATTTGTTTTCAGAAATCATATTACAGGGAATAGGAAAATGTTCTTCTAGCATTAAGTTTCTTAATCTCTCTCTACCCCCTTTCATTTAAAACAGTTCCTCATTTTTCCTCCTGATAATATACTCAGATTTTCTGAGCCTAGGGATATTGCCTTTCCAGGTTTCTTAAAACCAACCAACCGACCAACCAACCAACGTATAGCAAGTATTCTGTGAACCCACACATGCATGGACGTGCCAGATGTTCTTTTAGATCTGTCCTACATCATTAATGTACTAAGTCAAACATATCTATGGTTACTGAAGGAAACTCTTTTTATAAATGAACCTTCTTCATTTTTGCCTATTCCAGCTCTATTTTTCCTTATGATCCATATTGAGCCAGCTAAAACCTGTCCCATTCTCCCTTCTTTCTTTCTCCAAAGAGAAACAAACGGTTTTAGGTTCAAATAAATTGCATTGCATGAATGGCCTGCCAGTGAGGTGGGGCGGTGGGACTTGTCTGCCCTGGGTGCAAGTAATAGTGTCCGTAGAGAATTTAAGGCAATAAAAATGACAACTCAAAGCTGTTCTGCTTTGTATCATCACCATGTGCTGGTGATTCTAAACAATGTCAGTGATAAAATACTCCTCCCTGAAGGACTGGACCACTTTCACCACCTTCCCCTAACTTATTACACCTCTGTATTGCACTGTTAATAAACAAAAGACTTGCAATTTTCCTTTGGCTTGGTATGGTAGTCTTTGGCTGTATGACTCCCAAATGTGGGGAGCGACCACTAAAGAAAAAGGTGGGAGATTTGATAAAAGTGAATGAAACCCTCAAGTTCCCGTCCTAGGCTAACAGTATCATTTCTAGTGACAGACTGAGATCCTATTCCTTTTTCATATTTTCTTCAAGTTTTCAAAGTTACTGGAATTCTGTAAACAGTAAAATTGATCAGTGAGAGATCAGGAAAGAGAAAAAGAAATGTTAAACAATTTTACTAAGCCTTGAGGGAAATGGCTGAACTAAAACAAGAACTCAGGTGTTTCCTGCTTATCCTATTCTCAAGGGACTAGAACAGTCACTTTATCAGTACTGATAATTGCCTTAGAATTTTCTGCCTAGAGAGGTATTACTTTTTAAAAAAAATTTGAAATAAAAAATTAAGTTCTTATAAAAATGAGAAAATAGCATTCAAGGGACTTTATCCCTTAGCTCAGGCTACCTTGATCCCTGAAGCTACCTTGCGTCAGGTCCGACAAAGCCTGGTTCTTCAGCTTTCTCTTCAAGTCTGTGACCTTCTCCATATCCTTCCAATGAATTCCTTTTTTGCTTAATTTAGCCATCCTCAGTGTCTGTGGTTTGCAACCAAAACCCCCTACTTGACATATTTTACAAATATTTCAATCATGTTTAAGATTTACAGCAACTCTACAGGTGAAGTGAGAAGTGATTCTCAGAAGCTAAAATAATTTCTTCTTGGTTGTATAAGTTATTAGTGGTGGAACTGAAATTCAAATTTGGATTTGTAAAGATTTATGTCTTTCCCTCTATCATGTTACTACAAAATCTTCAAAGTCCTTTCTTGAGGACAACACGTTGCTTGACTATAAGAGATATCAACCAAAGACATCCCTGCAGCTCCATTCACTATAACCATCCACCCATTCATTCACTTAACAAATATCTGAATACATTAAATGGGCAAGATGCAGCACTAAGGATGGGGAATACAAAGCTGGTTCAGCCAGTCACTTCCATCAGGTTGCTCACATTCCTCTGAGATGTTGATTCTTCAGTTTATAGACTTAATATTGGAATCAGTTAAATTTAAACAATATGGAAAAACAATATAATATACAGCCATATGGTTCAGACAGGATACGAATAATTCAGCGTATTAAATTAGAAATAGTTTCCACTCGATTTAAGCCTTCAGTAGGTAATTCTTCACTGCAATGACTTCTAGAGACAAACAGTTGGAGAGAAAATCGTTTTAATTACAGTCTTTAAAATAAAGAAAAGAATGATGAAGTAATCTAGTTTCCCAAATCCCAATCATTTGTATGCCACCCTCAAGATTTCTGCCTGTATCTGTGTACCAACTAACATTTTCTTTAAATCAACTTCTATTTATTGCTTTAAAATATTTTAAAGGGACTTCCCTGGCGGTCCAGTGGTTGGGACTTCGCCTTCCAATGCAGGGGGGGCAGGTTCGATCCCTGGTCAGGGAGCTAAAGTCCCACATGCCTTGCAGCCAAAAAACCAAAACGTAGAGCAGAAGCAGTGGTGCAACAGATTTGACAAAACTTTAAAAATGGTCCACATCAAAAAAAAAAATCTTTAAAATATTTTAAAGAAAACTTTATATTGCTACTTTCAATGAAAAACTGGTAGGTAATCCATAAATAGAATGGAACTATGAAAATAAATACAGTGAAATAAAGATAATAAATTTCATCTAGATAGTATTGCAGTGGGAAGCTCTGAGCCTGAAGCTTGATCCACTCTTTGTTGTAAAGGAAAATTAGCAACTGTTCGGCAGGTGTTAAAGACCTACTATTTCCAAACTATTTCTTCTCCTGGAAATAATCAGAGGGATGGAAAGAGAACCTGAATGGAAGGAATTTTCTTACTCTGTGATTCAGTGTTATTTAATACTGTGTTTTTGTCCCACAAACAGCCTCTCACAGACCGCAGTGTCATGTGTTTCAGGCACTTGAGAGCACACAGTGAGTCAGGGAAATAGGAATGCTTTACGTGTGGAGGGAACTGTGGGAAGCAGCTTCCAAGTCTGCATCTGACATTCATTCATTCATTCACTTATCTACTATTATGCATTAAGCACCTGCCATGTGTCATTCATTGTGCTAAGAGCTGGGGATTCACTTGTGAATGACCTCACTTCAAGGAGAAGGTAAATTAGGTAAAAATGAAGAAGATAATTACATAAGCAAACTGTATCATATAATAGAGGACCCAAAAGATGCTAAGGCCTAGACTCATAGGGAGAGAGGTCATTCTCAAGTCTCAAGAGGCCACCCATTCTTCTGGGAATTCCAGAAGTCTTATTGTCCATTATAGGCTGTCAATGATTTCTCATTTCCTTTAGCGAGCACCAGCTGAAACATAGTTATCATATAAGGAATGGAAACCGGAAAGTACTTAAAGAACAGGACACAAGAGCAAAGTGTGCTATGATGTGGAAAGAATAAAGTGAGCATCAGAAAGACCATGAGAGATTAGTCTAATCATTTCTTTTTGTAGTAAATAGAGGGCTATGATTTCCTAGGCTAAACTGAGATTTAAACTGGACCTCCTGAAGTCCAGTCCAATAAACTTTGTACTATATGACATATATAAGAAAGGATCTTGAGAGTTAAAGACATTTACATTTGTTCCAAAAAGATAATCTGGAGCATTCCCAGTTATTAAAATAAGTACCAAAAAATAGTAAAAGAAATGGAGATGCTTGTGTAATGGAGAGTATAATGATCACATTTCAAGAAAGGGTGAAGGGGTGGCATTTAAAGACAAATATAACACATATTATGGCATCTAAGATAAGCTGTTTTATGAGCCATATCAAGATACATTTATTGAGAAATACTTACGGTCAAATTAGCATGAAAATATGAATGGCTTACTGTGACTATTAAAACAGCTTTAAAGCTGATCAGCGTAAAAGGTTTCCTCTATAGAACTACAGTGTTACCCTGCAGGAGAGATTTATACTTTAACTCCTATGCTCTTTGGCACCACTACGCTGAGAAAACTTGGAAAGAGGAGGCAAGGGAAAGCCCTGGAATCATTTCCAGCTATTCCCAGCCTTTCTGGATAGGTAATTTATTTTATTGTCTCTTTCTTGCTAGTACTTATCATATACTTTTTAGAAGTAGGTGATTTTGAAACTAAAGTATAAGGGAATTTACAGTGTTCTCCAATTTATAAGGCTGATAATCACTGGAGCCTACTGGTTAAGAAGGGAAACCAAGAATACTATTTTTTGGAAATTCATCCAAAGAATATCAGTGGGATTACCCTGGGGCATGGAACTTGGGAATGGAGGACAATAGCTTTTGTTAGCTAAGCATATTGCTGAATTTTACTATACAGGATTCTTTGGTAGCTCTGGACTTGGATTATTATTTCAGCTGTATTGTCTTTGTATTTCTTCCTGTTCTTAGCTAGTAAATATTGTTTCACATTCATTCTAAATTTATTTTTTATTCAGAATTAACCTTGCCATAACCAATGGCACATTCTATTAAAGCATGTTGTTCAAATTCAATTGTATTAAAGACTTTCCTAGAGAATCCTAAAGATATTGTCTTGAAAATAAAAAATATATATCATCTTCCTATCTAAATTTCTGAAATTTAACCATTTAAGTGGCTGACTGAGCTTGCAAATACATGCTAAGCCAAACACTTTGATCCTCCCATGGGAATGAAAACTAATAAAACATAATATACCTGTGAAGCTTGAGAGTGACAGTTCCATAAACAGTAGCAAAACCGAGAAGACGGACCCATCTTAGGAGAATACAGCGAAATGTGCTTGGCTCAAAGTACAAAATAACAACCTGTAGGATGAGAAGAGAAAGAAAGAGACCTTCAGGATCAGCTGATGACCCACAGATTAAAATCAGTATTTCACAGTCTGATGTTTAATACTATGAATTTTGACATGAGAACATATTTATTTGAATAAAACTCTAAAATATTATTTTGATCATTCTTTGTCCAAAACAAAGAACTATAAAGTCTCCTTATTGCTTTCATGTCAGATCTAAAGTCTTTAATTCTAGCTTTCAGGAGTTTCTAGCAATTGCCTCTAAATTTTTGGTATGTCCAAGCTTCACTCTCCTTTACTTCCCCAGGTGGGCCAGCCAGGCGAGCTTCCACTGCCTTTCTCAGCTGGAGCCGTGCCTATCCCTGCTCCACACTTCCGGCCATACCTTTCCCCTGTCTGAAATATCCTAAGAGGATTATCCTGTAATGCACCCCATCCCCCCATCACCTATCACTCCATGTTTACTACCTCACTTAGTACTTGGCTCCATCACTTCACTAACTCCTCGCTTCTCACTCCAGAGTTTTCACTCAACAAATATTAATTAAGCATTTATCATGAGCCAGGCAATATACTAGATGCTATGGGTACAAAGGCCAATATGAAAGGGAAGAGAGCCATATAAAGAAGAAATTGGAGGCTTCCCTAGTGGCGCAGTGGTTAAGAATCCGCCTGCCAATGTAGGGGACACGGGTTCAAGCCCTGGTCCGGGAAGATCCCACGTGCCACAGAGCGACTAAGCCTGTGCACCACAGCAACTGAGCCTGCACTCTAGAGCCCGCGAGCCACAACTACTGAAGCCCGTGTGCTACAACTACTGAAGCCCGCGAACCTAGAACTCGTGGCTCCACAAGAGAAGCCACCGCAATAAGAAGCCCGCGCACTGCAACGAAGAGCAGCCCCCACTCACTGCAACTAGAGGAAGCCCGCACGCAGCAGCGAAGACCCAACGCAGCCAAAAATAAAATAAACAGATAAAAAATTTAAATGTATATAAATAAATAAAGAAAGAAGAAACTGCATCAAAGCAGTATAGGTGCTGTGATAAACATCTGTGCAGGCTCCATGGGACACAAAGGAACAAGTGGCCAACTCTGGGGGATGGTCAAAAGTCCTGTGAAAGCACGGTATGCACAACCTCTCATCTGCTACTGCGTGGCTTTGAGCAAAGCCCTCACTGAATAGGAAACGGTTTGGACCCGCTAAAGGATTAATGCCGTTGAAAAATGTGGCCTTGCACTCTTCTGCTGGAGCAGCTGGCCTGAGCTGATTCTGCTGAGCATAAGGTCATTGTAACAGAAGAGTATGCCCACTCCTAAAATCTCAAGTGTTATTTTGGTTTTTCCTCCCGAAGACGTGAATACTGGGAAACAGAAAGCATAGCGGGGGGAGATGGGGTGGGTGCTGACGTTTTCTTGCGGATATCTGACAAATGGAGCCCCACTCTCCAGCAGTACCAAGCATGACATTACCTGTAACTCTATGCTGGCATCTCTCTAATATTTCTACTATATCAAAGTATTAAATTAAGCATTGACAAGACCATTATGATTAAATTCTCAAGGACTGGGGAAAAGACTGGACAAAAGTGTCAAGAAATGAGAAGAAGGTAAAAACAGATGTGGACAGGAGATAATGTTCCTTTGTGTGTATATAGTACTTGTCCTTAATTTTCTAATTCACTAAGTCTATGCTGAAGATAGAGATAAAGATTTGATTTCAGAATTTAATCTGCCAGGAAACTGCATCCAAAACTTGATATAAAACCTTTCTTTTATTTTCTATTTTCACAAAACAAGTTAAAATTCTGTAACTTTGTATTCTAAGTTTTAGCTCATATGTTTTAGACATAGTTCCTATGCACAAGGGTCCAGTGGTAATTATGAGTTCTGCAAAGTAAGCTGTGCTGTTTACTAAGGAATTGGAGCTCAAGGAAGAAGGGAAAACTTATGGGAGAGAAAACTTGATATAAGATTAAGGGATTAAGGAAGCATAAGTGCTCCTTCTCATGGCAGAGAGAAATGATAGATTAGAAACTAGAGAGATAGGAACCTAAAGTCTAGAATATATAAAATCTCAAATATTTCCACTAGAAATGGCTTTAGAGATTATTCCAGCACAGTGGATTCCTGGGGGCTGCAAAAGCCTGAGACTTATTGCAAACTTTTCTATTTCACAACAAGCAACAACTAAGAGAATGAATAAGCAAAAGTGAACAACTATACTATAGACGTCTGCATGATTGTTTTATTTTGAATGAAAGAATTGCTCTTGAACTGTTTGGGAACTATTGATATAGGTTCAAAATTTTATTTCACAGATAAAGAATCTGAGGACTTGTTACTGTAAGTGAAAGATTGAGTCGGTCAGAAATAAATGAAAGAATAGCTGAGATATAAGTTTAAAAAGTAATAGAAAATGAAATTCCAGTGAACTTAATAAAACATATTAGAAACAGTTCAGCAAACAGTGAAGTAGAGCTCTCAATTTTGCAGTGTGGTGGTGGAGAATACAGGCTCTGCATCCAGTCTCCCTGGGTCCAGTCCTGGCTCTATTCTTTATTAGTTGTATGACTTTGACAGACACTGCTTTGCTATGCCTCAGTCTTCCCATTTGTAAAATGAACACAGCAATAATACTTGCAGATGGGACTGTTTTGAAGTTTCAGTGTGATACACATAGTGTCTGCTACAGTGAGTATTCAGTAAGTATTGGCTAATATTATGAGAGTTGATTTATGAATGCTTTATTCTAAAAGTTACCCCTGCAATGCAGTATAACTGCATCTCATGAATTCAATGAATTCTTTACTAATGCTTCTAGCCACTCCTTTTGAATTCCTATAATCACTTTTGGACTGTATATTTTTTCTACCTTATATTATAGTTATCTGTAGGGGTCTCTCCCTGAATCAAATGTAAAATCCTGTGTGCTTTACATTTATATGTAAAATATTTGCTCAATGATCTATTTTAGTTAATTTAATAAATACAATATTAACTTCAAAATAAACTATTTGAAAAGTCCCATTAGGGTTCACTTGTCTTTGTGACTCTAACTTACACGTTCACTAGTTATTTACTCTGCATGAGGCAGTAAGGGATTTAGAAGCCATAAAAGTAAATCCGATGCAGATTAGGTCCTCAAGTTATCATTTAGAAGAGTGGATGTTACATGTAAATGATAAAAATACTGGCATGATCTTACCACATATTTATCCAGCATTATTGCTAGATACTAAATTATACATTTTTGCATTATTTGCACATTTAATCCTCACAATACCTTACGAAGTAGGGACTTTTATTTTATAGAAGAGAAATGAGGCACAGAGAATTTAAGTGATGTGCTCAGGGCCACACAGCTAGGAAGCGTCAGAGCCGGGATCTGAATCCAGGTGGTTTGGTTCCAGAGTTCATGCTCATAAGAGCTGCACTGGCTTGCCTCTCCAAATAGTCCCACCACATGGGGAGATGACAAATTCCATAATACCATGGACTGCATCATACTGAGGATTCAGAGAAAAGGGAAATTTCTCTCAGTGGAAACAAGCAAAGCTATCCCGGGAGGCTGGGCATCTGAGAGTGCATGAAGGAGGAGTGGGTTTAAGTATGGAAGCAAAGAGGAAAGAGGACAGGGGCCTGAGACAGAGCCATGGTTGTGGGGATGCTTCAGTGTGTGGAGTATACAGACAGACAGACACAGCGGGAAGACATCCAGGGGAGTGTAGAATATCAAGCTTCAAAGCAGAGATTCGGCCAGTTCACTGTAAACTGTGAATAACAGGGTGAGGAATTCAGATTTTATTCCAAGAGCAGACATGCCGTTAAACTTTGAGTTGAGATCAGAAGTGTGTTCCAGAAAGTTACTCTGGTAGCAGCATGCAAGAAGACTGGTTGCCCATGGAAGGAGAAGAGAGTGAAGGTGAAAAGACCAGTTGGAAAAAAGAAAAGCAATCCCAATCCATCATCTTTCCCACCAGCCTTTTCCCTCTCCTTATATCTTATTCCACCATTCCTCTTTCCTCCAGCTCCCAAACGGCAGCTAGGGTGATGTTTCTGACACCTCACTCTCCTGCCTAGAACCTTTCACTGGCTCCCATGAAAAAGTCAAAATTATTCGAGCTGGTTGTCAGCAGCTTGCCTTTATTACATCATTGCTTTTCCTCCACCCAAGCCCTCGAATCCTTGCATATGCTGTCCCTTCTCACTGGACGTTCCTTACACAGCCCCACAGTCTCACCTGTACCTGGCTTACTCCTGTTCACCTGCAGGCCTCAGCCTGAATATCCCTTCCTCTAGGAGGACAAAGTTTTGCCTGTGGTTTAGGACACTGTCCCTGCTTTATGGCAGCATTGGACCCATGGCACCATGTTGGATTGTAGGCGCTGTGACAGCCATGTTTATCATGTTCACTTCTGTAACATTGGCACCAGCAGAGTCCTGGCACACAGGAAATGTTCAGAAATATTTGTTGAATGAAAGAAAAAGCTATAGGAAAAAGGTAAAGAAAAATGTTAAGAAATACAGTGAGAATAGGAATTTGGTCACGCATGGGAATAGAGGAAAAGATGGTGCTAAATCAAGAAAATTGAGCAACTCATTATTTGTTGAGGCAAAAGAGAATAAAGTGTCAAAGATAATGTAAAGATTTTAAGCCTGGATGACTGGGAGGATGATTGTGTTTGAAAAGAAAAAGATGCATAAGTTGAAAAAATTATGTTACCTCTGCTTAAAACTCTCCCCGTTCCCACCTTGTCCTTCACGTCTCAGGTCAGGGTTGGCATCCACGATGCTCCCCAGCACCCCCAGACCAAGTCAGGTTTCCATCTCGCTTGCACGGTATTTACTTGTATTGAATTCTGAGCTTTCTTTCATCACACTCATCAAATCTATTTTGATATAATTATTTCTGTAATTCTTTTGTTGAATGTGTCTTACTAGCATGTAAGACATGAGGGCAGGGATTGTAACTGCCTTATTCATGATTGCATGCCTATTCTCTAGTGCT